GCAGGATAGTCCGTCGAATAAGTGACCCTAACTCTAAATCCACAACCAAACAAGGAACAGGAAGTAAAGCAAAGATCACAGATTCTAAGTCTATAACGCCCTAGTCACATGTAACCGGAAAGTATCCATTTAGCGACTATTGCTCCATCAGTAACGACCCTTTTTAGTTCTCACAGATGTATGTTTTTAGAGGTACAGAATACTCCTATAGTATTCTAATGTTAACGTTATTGTGGTAGTGTTGGTAAGTTTTAGACTTGTTGCAATACCACAACCAAACTTAGGCACATGCTAGTCACTCCCAGGAAGACGTAGTTGATCAGGCTACATCCCCCTAAATGTGACTATATGTCTCTAAGCTCAATTGTGCTATCCAACAATCTTAATACTTTTGTTTGGTTCTAGGACGATACTGACTTCTGTGTTTTATAGTGATGTGTGTATATATACTTAGTTAAATCTTTTAGATACTTAACAGTATATATTCTTGGTCAGAGTGTTTTAGTCCCGAAGTGTTTATAGTTCGTATATCTTTTATAGGTTGATATACTTGATTCACTATAAACAATGCTCTGATACCAATCTGTCACACCCCAAAACCGATAACGGCGGAATACGTTTCGGGGTGGATGACGTAGTGTACAGTATCATCACAATTGTATAATAGTAAAAGCAAGAAACATACAACCATTTCATTTATATAGTAAGTGTATTTACAAGTGTGTTTTGTAATGTTTGACAAACACCAAAAGTAAACAAAAATAAGAGATGGGTCTTGTATCCTCCATCTTCTCCAAAAATTGCTGCTGTACCTGTCTATCTTTGACCTGAAGATACAAGTTATTTTGAAAAGAATATCAGCATAAAGCTGGTGAGTTCATAAGAGTTTTAGTGTGAGTACTTGTATAAAAGCATTAGAGTCATTATTATGAAAACTGAAGTTTGAAATCATAAATAGTGGTGAAACCTAGAAAATCCCATATTTTCCAGAACATTAAGTAATGTAATATAGTGAGTTATTCTTAGAGTATGTAATAGTGGTGCAGCATCCTTTAGTATTAGATACTTATTTACTTCGGGATATTACTTCATCTTTCTTTTAGTATTTTAGTGCGGTTATAGTGTCTTTCTAGTATATTCCCAATAGTGTGAGTAATAGCGAACCCCATGACCTTCCCAGTCATGCATAGTGTAGTAGAGTAAAAGCATCCCTGGGCCTGAGCGGCTCGGACTGAAGTTATCAGTCGGGATGTAATAGCGTCTGCCCCGTATAGATCTATACATATAGTGTCGTCTTCCTGTCGGAAAACTTCGGGCATAGTGAATAGCGTATAGAGTATCCCGTAGTGGATTAGTGAGTTATCTCATGATTAGTGCATTCTCTTGTATTATAGTGTAGTAATCTTTCGTATAACTTGTATTGTATTCTCTTATTAGTGTATTGCTTCATAATATAGAGAATTATAGTAGTGTAGAGTAATAGTGGAAACTAGGGATAGAGTCCTTAACTATACCCATTATAGTTAATTTAGTGTATGTGGTTCTAGTCAAGTAGTGATTCAGGTAATTAATGAATTAAGAAGTACTCATAATCTGTACTAATATATGAGATATATAATTAAGAAATCAATGACAGTCGGATGGATAACTACTACCCTAAGTCCACAATCAAACAAGAAACAGGAAATAAGGCGAGCTATCGGTCCTAAGTCTTTCAAGTCTTACTTATATAAATATATTAGTATGATTACATTCTCATAAAGAGTTTTATTTAACAAAAGTATTGTACGAAAGGAACATTTAAAACTTGTTTGTTAATCCAAGATAGTTTTGAAAACAATTGACTTATTTATAAAGCATAGTGATAAATCACATGTGATTTGAACTACAGATTGGGAATCACATGTGATTAACTCTGAAATCTGAAAAATAGTTTTGTATAACTTTTCATAAACATGTATATTCAACTTGTATCTCCCCCCTAAAACATATAAAACATTTGAAAGGTTCATTAAGGGGTATGAACTCACCTGAAATCGCGGAAATCGGGTAAATCGGGTAAAAGTGTCGATTGAGCGTTTGGTACCCAATAACCTCTTGAGCACCTCCTAGGACCCTAATGTCTATGAAATATGTATTTTACAAGAAGTTAATCATCTTATGCTTTCATTATAGTATTTGGACATTCTAGCATCGTTTTCGGGGTTTTAAGGCCTAGAAGGGGTTCCCGGGAGTGGTACAAAGTCATGAATGATTTACGGGAGGGTCCACGAGCTCACTCTTGGAGTTTATGGCCCAAAAGCCATCCTTTGGGAGTTTACGGCCGTAAACCCCCTAGGTTTGGCCGTAAACTCTTGTGGCACTCCAAAGTGTATGTTTAAGGTCTTATTTCACTTCCTTGATTTAGTGGTATGTGTCTTGGACTATTTTAAGGGATTAAACATCATAATTTGTGACATTTTTGGGGAGTTTACGGCCAAGACTTGTTCTTGGGCCGTAAACTCTTGTAAACCCTTCAAGATGTATGTTTTATGGTACAACAAAGTCTCATACACCTTAGATAAATCCTAGAAGGCCATATAGTGAGTTTGGGACAATTTGGCATATATTTTTGGGGAGTTTACGGCCCAAGAACATCCTTGGCCGTAAACTCTTCATTTTGTGCTCAAATGTGAAGTTTAATGGTACAACACACTTCCAAAGGCCTTAGCTAAAATCCTTACATGCATTTGAGGGGTTTTGGGACTTGTTTGACACAAAAACATGGGTGTTTACGGCCCAAGCTTAGCCTTGGCTGTAAACTCCTCTTTTTGCCATCAAATGATGTTGTTTGATGCATTTAAGCCTTCCTTGTTGTCAAGTCTAAATTGCCAAACACCCTAGATGAGTTTTTGGGACATTAAACAAGTGTTTTTGGGGTGTTTGAGGTGTTTACGGCCTAAGCACTTGCTTGGGCCGTAAACTCCTTTTTAGGCTCTAATTCCTTGTGTTTTAGTGTCCAAAGTCCCCTAGGTTTATGCCTTAACTAGTCCATAAGCTTAAAGGAAGGAAAAACAAAGCTTTTGGCATGATTTTGGGGGTTTACGGACTAAAGAGCTTCTTAGGCCGTAAACTCCTTTATGGTCCTTGATTCTCATGATTTTGGACTCTAAAAGCAGTAAAGTATGATTAGATTAAGTTAGGGGATGAATCCTTACGTTTGGAAGTCGGAAATTCGCGGATTTGGAGTCGATTTCGGGTCTAGAGAGAGAAAGTAGTGAGATAGAGGTGAAAGTGTGGTAAAAGAGTTCAATTGTAGTGTTCAAGTGTTTTTATATATCTCGGGTATTGTACCCGATACACGGCTACTCGATGCTAAAGTTTAACGGGGTTAAAACTTTTTACCCGGGTGAAGTGGTTGAAAAGTAATATAACTTTATTTAGTTAAACGGGGTTAACATTTGCAAGTTATAATTACTCATGATAATACCGGAACATATAATTAACTAAATATTTATTTATTGAAAACCCGAACAATACCGAGAAATAACATATAATGGCGCATTCCGTTAGTGAAAATGGGATTTGTAACGGGAATAGATTTGGGGTTGTCACAGAGATGGCTCATCAACCCACACTCACCAAGAGAATTCAGTTCAATAAGTTGTCTTTACCATGCCTTTGGAACTTTCTTTTTGGAATTCTTCTTCGATGCTTCACAGGTCGAAATGTTGGATTGGATAAAGCTATGCTTGAGGTGTATGTGATGGTTGTTGGTCTCTAATATGACCTTAATGTGGATTATGCTACACAACTGTGGTAGGAATTTAGCAACAATATTGCACACACAAATGTTTCTAATGGTGTGTCTTGTGCAAGGTATTGGAGTTTGATCTTGCAATATGTCTATGCAAAGGAAGGTATTCTGGTTCCTGCTGATGTTTAAAAAGTTGAATTTGTCTTGTATCAACATCCAAGGTTGTGGAATATGATTTGGAGGAATTTCCTTTTGTTGTCGAATTCCCGATGCAATGCTTTGTAAGGTGGATCCAGCACACCCGGTTCTTGTGGCTTATCTAACCAAAATCAATCATTATGTTGAAACAATAGTTTTATTACCCAAAGGCATTGCTGGTACATCAAAGAGAGGAAAGGGGTCAAAGAAACTTACCAAGCCGATTCAAGCTCCTGAACTTACAAAAATTGAAAAGGAATTGGTGCCTTCGAAATCTAGTGTATTGAAAAGAACGAAGAACGTGGCACATAGGCCTCATCATTCTCCTAAAAGGAAACTTATTATCGAAGTTGTTCCTAAGCCATCTCTTTCTTCACCTAAAGAGACTTTTTCATCTAAGATCAAGAAAATTCAAAAACCCTAGATAAATCGAAAGGGGGTGATTATTCGGGAAATCCCTACTCCCTTTTCTCCTACTTCAAAGAAACGAAGAGCTCATGATGTGGTGAAGAAACTCAAAAAGAAGCAAAATCAAGTGAAAGATACTTTGGAAGATCCTCTCGATGAAGTTGTTATCGAGAGTGATTTTGAAGGTAATGACTCTCATGTTCTACAAAGTGAGTTTGGCTTCGATTCAACTTAGAGGGACTCACCAGTCAAGTCGACGTTCGAGACGACTGGTAGTCTTAGTGGCTCTTTGAAAGCATTTAATGTGGACACATCTACTAATCTAGCTGATTTGTCTACTTTCTCCATCCCTAAGGAGATTTCGGTTATACCACCCGAAGTTTCGATTGCCAAGTCCAATATGGAGGAGGTTGGAACTTCAAGCATCACTGTGGACATATCTAATATGGACATGGATGCCAATATGGATGAAGGGATGTCGACACACAAAGCCCACAATCTTTCGAATGTTTCTACTACATCTATTCCTATTTCGATAATTACTTCCTCCACATTTGAAACCACTGTTACGGAAAACTCTACTTCGTTACCACCCTTTATTTCACCCATTCCCACATCCTTACCTGCATCTACCATATCACCTACTTTTTCGAATATCATGGATCAACCTATCACTTTTTTGTTTCCTTCTCAATTCACTGAAGGACCCACATTCATTCCTGATGATAAAATAGAAGATGATGATGTTATCGTTTCTTTCGTTGACATACAATTTGATCCCGAGGAGGAGAACATTCCAGATCACGTGCTTATGTCTAGTAAGCAGTTCAAGTTACTCAATCGAAAGATCAATTCTTTGTTACAGCTTCAAGCCGATGCTGGTAATCGAAATAGTGTATTTGGGATTGAGGTTGATGTCATGCTCAAAGCTCAACAACTTCGTTTGAAAGCCTTGATGGAACAGATTGATACGAAAACTAAAAAATGTTTGAAGCATCAGTCTGATTCTTTTGTTCATCTGGTAAAGGATTTAAGGGCAGTTGCAAAATAAAGACATATTTTATTTACTGAAGCTATTAAACAAGTACAGGAGAATGTAAGTTTGAAAATTGAAGAACTTCGTTCTGAAATGACGAAGGAGGTTGTCAAGCTTGATAACAATTACTCACATCTTAACAATGAGGTAGATATTGTTGCTACCATTGTTACGAAAGTTTTTGAATTTCATAATTCTCTTCCCACCAAGATTGATACAAAATCGGAGTTTGATTCTAAAAGATTTGCCAAATTGGAAAAGTTATTGGGAAGTTTGAAAGAGTTACTTTTGAAGCTTGGTTCTTCTCCACAGTCTTTGAGTTCTTAAGAGTCATTTTCTAAGATTTTTTCCTCATTGGAATCTACTCTTAAGGCTGATTTGGCTCCACTTCTGAAATTAGTTAATTTGATGCCAATTGATGCCCCACCAGTTCACATAGGTTTGCAAAGGGGAAAAAGTGTGTTGGCTCTGGTGTTTCAAAACGTTTTGATACGGGTTCTTCAAAAACATCCTTCTCAAGGAAAGATTGTAGGGAGGGTTATGAGTACACATATTTCTACTTCACTTCCAACATCAATGACTACTACTTCAACCACAATGACTTTGAAACCTTTTAACAAAGGTGTTGTTATTCGTTCTTCTGCTAGGGGTTCAATTTCAAAACCACTTCCATCAACCGAAGAAATTGAAGGAAAAGGGTAGGGTATCAAAACTGATCCAACTGAATAAGAGAAGAAGATTGCCTTAGAAATGGAAATGGAAAGACAAAGACAAATTCAAAGCATTCTAAGACAAAGGCAAGGAGACCCACCTAGTCTTGAGAATGGTAACCCAACGAAACCATAGTGTTACGAAACTATCAAATAGATTGTTTCTCTTGGTAAGATACTTGATTTTCTCAAAGTCCCAAAGAAAATCTATGAAATAGAAAATTCAGACTTCAATCAACGGGATTTTCTTATCAACCATATGACATTCATATTAGCTCAGTATCAATTGATAGACAAATTTGAAGACAAAGAAGAGTTCAAGAAGCTGAAAATGAGGTTTCATGCAGTACTTGGAAAGAAAGAAGAGGAGATGTGGTCATTAGTAAAGATTGTCAAGGTGTTAGGTATAACCAAGCATCAGTTATTCGAAGGGTTATTGTAGAAATTTCGTTTTCACGTAGTTCCTGCCAATAATGTGGCTAGTGAAATCTCTGTAGCTGATTTCCTTTGATGAATCTTAATGATCTCATCTGCATGGAAAAAAATCTTAATGAGGTTGATGCTTCGAAACTTCAGGTGACAAACAAAGAAGATTTCTTTCTAGGGTTTGCACATATCAATATTTTTATTGACACTTATTATGATTGTCTTGCCTTAACGGATAGCTTTGGCAATAGGAAAACAAATTAATGTACCACAATCTTTGTTGACAGGTGTAGGAAGCTTGAAGAATTTTGATGATGGATAAATTTGTGTTAAACCTTTAGGAATAGTTTTTGTTAGGAAGAATAAAACCCACAAGATGACAAAGTTTTTATTTAGAGTGGAAGATGTGGAAAGATACACAAATTATCAGTACATGAATCTACTTGATCATATCAATAATTGTAAGAAGAATACTGAAGATGAAAAAGTTGAGGTTCACAGATCAATTTTTTGGTACATGGAGGTTAGAAGAGTTATTCATCGGGCGACGAAGATGCTAATGACCTAGTACTCGACACTTCTCACAAAGGGGGAGAATGCTGAGGTTGAATTGTGTTGTGAGGTGTCGAAGTGTCATGAGTCTTTCTTAGGGTGGAAGTCTGTATTTCATCATTCGTTGTATGTATTTCATAAGTGCACCTTTGTATGTCGAATCTTAATAGTTTTAGCCCTTATGTATTTTTCTTAACTTCTGAAATCCTATAAATAGGGATAGGTTCTATAGATAGAGTAACTTTTGGGCATTTCATGTTCTTACTCTACACATACTCTTCTAACCTTCAGAAGTTTTAATTGAGCCATCCATATTATATTTACTCTTGTGTTCTAGAACCATTTCAAACTCTGATTTCATTTCATATTCTAGATCTACAACAACTACACAAGCCCAAAAGAATGGCCCAAACTCGAATCCTAAAATGCAAAGCCCATCAGACTGAGTACGTCGGGCGTACTCAGCACGTATATGCAGCGTACTCTCTTGAGGGCTTATGCGCTAAGCCTACCTGCTTGTATGCCCAGTATACTGGCCTATTTAGCCAAAACTCTATTTTAACCCTTAATCCATTAAGATATTGGTCCAAAATGTAGATTTGACTTCCCTAAGCTGGATTGTGACGTAAAGTTGCTAACTTTATGTTCATGCATGGCAAAATGAAGCTCTTAAGATTAAAAGAGACTTAATAAGTGACTTAATTCATGCATGAGCCCCAATAACCCATAAAGTAGGTACCTTTATGCTTAAGGAACTCCTAATAAGCTCAGATCAAAAAGAATAAGTCCTTCAAACGTCTTAACTCATCCACCAACCCAAAAATGGAACAAAAGCATTACAAATCAAACCATGAAGAGATCTAAGCATTTACAGTTCAAGGTATAAACTTGATACCTCCAAACCCTTGCAAAAAGGGTGATGATTTTGGATCTATAAACTCCTCACCAAGAAAAGCACCTTCAATCATCTTTACTTCCTTCACAAAGGGCAAAATAACCACCAAAATCTTCTCAATAGCTCAAGAACACCACAAAGAAGGCTTAAGGGTCGGTTTAGGGTTTTAGGAGGTTTAGGAAATAGTAAAAAGGCCATACCTAGGGAATTAAGGGATTTATATAGGGTGCAACACCCTAAATTCGGGTTTTCTTATCCACCGAGTACACTAAGCATAACCCTCGTACACTTAGTGCACGAGGGTTCGGATGTGCAACCAACCTGCTGACTATGCACAGCATATACCAGTGTATGCCTCATGTACTGGACCTCACACTAGTACGCCCCGTATACTCCTTATGTACAACCCGCGTACTAGGGTTATCCTTAAACCCTAATTCTTTCCGAAAGCCATAACTTCTTCATTATAAGTTCAATTTTGACGATCCTTATATCCACGAAAAGGTAACGAGAAGCTCTACGTTGTTATCAACTCATACTTGCCTTAAAATTTCCTGAACAAAAATCCAATGTCCATAAAAGCCCAAGCTAACACTTTACCAAAATACCCCTTGGCTCCAAAACACAGATCGAACACCCGGATCATCTAAATTACATTACCCACGCCCAAATAGGAAATGATTCGGGACATGGCGTTATAATATGTATTCTTGCACTTTGGATGAATCCTTTTTTTCAGCATTGTAAAAATATTTTTGCCAACTTTTTTGTTTCATTACCTTTTAGTTTTTTCTTCGATGTGAAAAGTTCCATAACAAACTTTACATACAGATGACCTTGTTTAATTGCATCTAATAAAGGATTGTTTCCCTCAACCTTAAAAAACATGTCAAAAACTTATTTATCTTCCCTTTCCTTTTTGTGTTTTTCAACCTTGAAGGAAAAGGATGTAACAACTATCAAATTTCGATCACAAGAACATTGATCAATCCCCATCAACATTGCTAAAACTAGATCAAACGGTTAAAATCATAGTGTTAATTAGAAAGCTTTACCGAAAAGAATAGTCATATTATCAATACTTGTACGCATATATATATATATATATATATATATATATATATATATATATATATATATATATATGTCTATATATATATATATATATATATATATATATATTATATATATATACATATATATATATGGGTCAGAAGTGAAATTTGAAAACAAAATTTTATTAGTTATTAAGTTCGATACCCCCCCCCCCCCACCCCCCTCTAATATTATGAAGTTTGAAATTTGCGTGTGTGTGTGTATGTATATATATATATATATATATATATATATATATATATATATATATATATATATATATAAGATATGAAGTATGAGAAGGGTACCTTCAAATCTTCCAAATAATTCTCAAAGGTACAATAAGATCATATCAATTCTACATAGATCTTTGTATAACAATTAGTCATAAACCACATCTCCTATCCCCTAGAATTCGACTAATGCTTCATGTACACAAACATACAACAAATACATACATACATGGATCATGCAAGTGGAACCCATAAATCTATTTTAAATATCCTATTATACCATTTGTGATCTATGAACCTTCCAAGGAATTCGCATGTGTGAGTGATGTACTAACTTATTCTTGACAAATCTTCCCTTCTCTCCTCCCCCTCCACACGATTTCATTCCTTACACACACATTCTCCACACATGCAATACATATAGATAAGATATCCTAGTACATTCATATCTTTCAAGATGGAGTCAATTGTACAAAGAAATCTTCCAATATCACATTGAATATGAATTACTAAGGCTATGTTCCAGCCCCTCGTACACACGCAATCTACTTTATGCATGTGCACACTTCATGTTCATCCATGTATTGCAAATGTGTGAGGCAAAGAATAGGATATCAACTTGGTACTTCATATCTCTCAAACTAGATTCAATTATACCATGTTATCTTAAGACATTTGCCTTATATCATGTTCCTTTCCTTGTAGTCTAACACAATACTCCCTCATTCACTCTACCTTCCACCAAAACCTCTTTATCTCTCTCTCTCTCTCTCTCTCTCTCTCTCTCTCTCTCTCTCTCTCTCTCGTTGTTGCATGATCACCAGAAGAACCCAAGCAAAAAATCGAAGGTTGTTACCTCCGATTTAAGCTCCTACCTCACTCACTTCCACCCTCCTTTATGTATTGAATAGCAGACCCAAACACCCCCTGATCAGATGTCAACCTCATGGAAGCAACCACGAACCACGGCGAGTTCTCTAGGTTTGTTCATCGGAGAAAATAAGCCATTGAGCACCACTGGTTCTTCCCTTTTTCATAATCAGTTTCAACACACAAGTAGCTCCTTTGTTATATTTTTCCTCATTCATCGAGTTACATGTGAGAAATGTTCCCCTCTCGTCGATTTCAACCTATAAAAACCACCATGCAGGCCACCATGCGCCACCGTTGCCGGCGGCACGTGCAGCTCCAGCAGGGTTCCAGTCGATGGTTTCCTGTTCCAATTAGTTCCTGTAGTGTTTTGTTCAAAATCTTTCTATTTTGATGATGTCTAGATCAAACTCAAGACCTTCCGGTGCAAAACGCGTTTTGTGCTCAAGTTCGTGAAAATCTCGACAATCCTGAAAATCCCGACAATCCTGACTCACGCATCTAGGGTGAGCTTTTATGTCCCCTATTTACGATTTTTACACCTTT